TTACCACACCACACCATTAAAACGACCATTACATCACACAACATTAACATCACACATCACCACACACCTCATTACCACAACAACCATTATGAAACTCACCGACCCATCCACACCACCACACCACACACCATTACGACCCAGACATTCCACCAACACCATTATACACCTCTTACACACCACCAACCATCCCACTACCAACCATTACAACCACCTTACCACCACCACATTACATCACTACACATTAACAACACCACTTACCACCACACCATCATTACACCTCCACACCATCAAACCAATCATACACCTCCACACTATTACCCACAACCACATTAACACACCAACATATTACACCACACCATATTACACACACCCATTACCATCACACACACCAAACCCACACAACCAACCACCACCACCCATACGACACCAGCCATTAACCACCACCACAATTACCACAACCCATTACCACAACACCATTACACACAAATTACCAATACAACATTTACCACCCACACACATTACCATCACCAACCATTACCAACACCATTCCACACCCACAATTACCACCACACCATCATTACACTCCACACCATTAACACACCATCACCACACCATACCACACACCATCATTACACCACATCATCATCTCACCACACATATTACCAAACCATTACACACACCACCATTACCACACCACCACCATTAACCACCACCACCATTAACCACCACCACCAACCATTAACACCACCACCACACATTACACCACCAAATTATACAACAACACATTCACACCAACATTACACACCACACCATTTATACCACACCACCACATTCACCATACCATTAACAATACCATATACACCACCAACACCACCATTACCCATTACCACTAAACATTACACCCACACATTACATCAACACCATTACACCACACACCACCATTAACACCACCATTACACACCACACACCACCATTTCCCATTACACACCAACCATTATCACATTAACGACCACACATTACCACCCATCATTACCACCCACCTTCATTTCCGCACCTACCTTCATTACGCCACTAACTTCATTACACCTCCACCCCATTACCACCACATTAACACCCCTTCATTACACCACCACCTTCATTACACCCCCTTCATTACTCCAACAATTACCACACCATTACCACACACCACCACCCGACCACCACACCATTATAACATTCACACACATTAACCCACATCATTACACACACCTAGTCATTACCACCACAACATTACCCACCACCACACTTACACCACTTACCACACACACCATTACCAACCACCCCATTACCACACAACCATCTACACCACCATCCATCATTAACCACCATTACACACACATTACACACACCACCAACAATTCACCACCAGCACATTACCCACACCACACCAACCATTACAAACCACACCATTACCCACACACAACCATTACACACCCCACCACTTACAACCACACATTACCAAACCATCATTAACAACCTCATTTACCAACCCATTAACACACACCACCATTACCACCAATTACCAACTACCATTACCACCAACATTACCACCACACACACCATATACCATTACCCACCACACCACCATTACCACACCCCCACCATTAACACACCTGCACACCATGTACAATCACACGACATTAGCACACAAACATTACCACAACCACCCACCTTTATAAATTACGACACCCACCAACCATTCCACACATCATGTACACACCACTTCATTACTCGCCCCATCATTACATCCACACCATTACCACCAATTACCACAACATCATACTACGCACACCTTATTACCACCGAACCTTTCATTACATCCACCACCATTACACACAACCTTAATCACCATTTACCAACACAACCACCATTACACACCATCATTAACGAACCAACTTTCATTAACCACAAACATTACCACCTCCCACTTACACCACCACCACCACCATTCCACGACCACCACCATTCACACAACATTACAACCAAACCTATTCACACACCACATTACCCACACCAATTACCACCGACACACCATTACCACCCACCACCACCATTCCGACACCACACCATCCATTACCAACACCACCCACCATTACACCACACCATACCCAAACAACATCATTACACAACACACATTACCACACCAGACCATCTACCACCACTACCGCATACCCCACCACATTCACACACCATTACACACCTCACCATTACCAAACCACATTACATCCACCCACCATTACCACACACCATTCACACATTCACACACTAACATTAACCACACATTAACAACACCCACCATTACACAACCATTATCACCACACACCTACACCACGAATTATTTCCATCCACCCACACATTACCCCATTACAACCCACCTTCATTTTCCACAAACATTACACACCATTACCACCACCTCACATTCCACAACACATTACCACACCATTACACACCACCCCATTAAACACACCACATTACAAAACCACACCATTACCCACCACACCACATCTACACACCCAACCATTACCAACACACCACCTTTACACACACATTACCACACCACCACAATTACACACCACACCATTACACCACAGACCACATTACATCACACCACACACATTACACCACCAACCTTACCAACCACCAACCATTACACAACCACCATATTACACATAATCATACCACCAATTCCCACAACCATCATTACCACGCACCATTACACACACCACATCTTCCACACATTCACCACCACCATATTACACCACCACACCATTCACCCACACAATTAAACCACACCACCATTACCCACACACCCATTACACACACCACTATTTACCACATTACCACACACCATTACAATTACACCACACCAACTTCATTAATAACCACCACTTCAACTTAATAACTACCAATCATTACCACAACACCATTACACACACCATTACACCACCACACATTAGCAACCACATGTACCACGACCACATACCACACACATTACACAACACATCATTACACCACACCTTACACAGAACCAACATTACACCACTACCATCTACCACCACAATTATCACCACCACCACCATTCGCACACCGACATTATCCACACACACCATTCAAACACATTAACCGACAACACGACATTACCACCCACCAACCATACACCACCCACACACCATTACCACCACCACCAATCCACACACACCACCATTACACACAATTACACCACACCACAACCAATTACAACACCAACACCATTACAAACAACACCTTACACACCCACAATTAACTCACCATTACCCAACATTCCAACCCATTTACACACCATTAAACACCCATCATTACACCACACACACCCCACTATAGAACACATTACACACCACACACATTAACCACGACTCATCAATCATTACCCCATCATTCCCACCATCATTACCACCACCATAATTACACAACTATTGCCACACCTTCTTCACCACCTTCATTGCCACCATCACCATCATTACCACCATCACCATCATCACCATCATTGCCACCACCATCATTACCACCATCACCATCATTACCACCATCACCATCATTTCCATCATTTCCATCATTACCACCACCAACATTATCACCACCACCATCATTACCACTACTACCACCTGCACCTCCTCTCTCTCCTACTCCCTGCTGCTGATCCTCCTGCTCCACATACCCTCTCTATTCCCCACTCCTCTTCCTCTTTTTCTTCATCTTTATCCTCCACCACCTCTTCTATGCCCTGTTCCACTCCTTCTACTCTCTACTCCTCTTCCTCTTTTCCCTCCTATTCCTCCTCCATCCCCTCCTTTTTTGCCATTGTGCTGGTTTGCTCACATATAAACATATATATTATGTGTGTATAAAAATATAAGCTTTTTATTATGAACTCATTGTTGTCTACCTGGAAACATATATATATCATAGAAAGAACTTAATGAATCTACTTTTATCATGTTTTAAAAGGTGAAAATCATATTTCATAATGAGTGGATTCTTTTTATCGTAATTCGATACTTATGGATTATACTGACACGTTCAGTAAACAGTGACACATAGGAATGTCTAAAATAATTTGGTATGAGTAGCTCTTAGTTAACCTAATAAGTGAAGTAGACATTTGACATGGCTTTCATGCCTGAAGCAGAAAATTGTGAAAGGACTTTGAAACCTTTTAGAATGAATGACAAATAATGTAAGTATTTTTTTTTTGGTAATGAAAACTAGCCAAAAATTTTATGTAGCCAAATACATGGCTGAGGGTCATTAAATTACATTTAATATATGCTTTTCAAACAACTATGGCCCCATCAGATGTCTGGTGCTGCAGTGTCGACACGTGGCAGATACATGACCCAAGAGGAACAAAAAAACCCAAACAAGAATCCAGGTGATCGCCCTCTCTACCTCCACATCCAGGCAGTGAACCAACAAGATGTGAAAGGTATGGGGGCAGCAAAGGGACTAGGCAGTGCTTTCTTCATTCAGTGTTAGTGATAATGATGCTTAGAGGAGCTTTGTATCATGGTGTTTGTTTAAAGTTGATATTTTTTCTTATTTCAGCTTAGATTATATATATTTGAAAACAGTATAATTTTGAAAAGTATTTTTATGTTTTTTTTGCTATGTGTTATCTTTTTTTATCTTTTCATTTAGGATGGATAAAAGCTCAGTATTCATAATCTTCATTGACTTTTAAGCCTGCAAGAAATAAGTTTAAGGAGTGAGTGATGTGAACATAAGGTCATGGGGAAAATCTGGCTGTGGTCCTAGGTAGACACAAACTTTCTGTCATGAGCATTCCGAGTGAAGGCCATGGTGACAGAAAGGATTTGCCACATTTGCACAAAATTTAGAAAGAGCTTTTGCATTATTTCCATTGATAGATGAATGTGGAATGTAATGTCTATAAGCCATAACTGGAAGAACTCTGGCTCCAGGGATGACGCTATTTCTATGCTCAGCATCCTCTTCCTGGCTGCTGTGACTGCATTTTATCCAGTATTCTGTGAATGGAATGTTCTTGTATGAAACATAGTCTGAAATTGGCTTGTGATATTAAACAAATATTTTCACCGACAACTAATATCATCCATGAAAATTGTTTAAAAGTTTGGAAATATTACAATGATCTTCCTAGTCCCAATATTATATTGATGACAAAGTTTAATCTTTTACATGTTTGTCAAGAGATAGATGAGTTTTCGTTAAATTGATAAATAAAAAACCTAAATTTGAAAAGGGAAAATATTAATTATATATTTTGTCTAAATGTAAATTGTAAGGGTTTCTCATCTAATACATGTTCTCTGTGTGGCTTCCTTATGAAATTTGTGAATGGCAAATTACCTTATTGCTTAATGGGTTGTGTATGGTGATGCACTGAATCACATTGAATTGATCTCCTTAAAAAGATTTCATGGTCTGCAGAGGAAGAATTTAGGTCAGAAATTTGTAACAGGTTGTCAGATATACCATTAACCCATTAACACCAGTATGTTTTGAAGCCGAAAATGAAAGATTCCAGGCGGCTACAAAATTGGCGGGCGGAGCTGACCCAAAATTGGCGGGCGGAGCTGACCCTCTGTCCGCGCCCGCCTGCCGTGGCCCGCTGCTGCGTCGGAGCGTGAGCCCCAATACAGCGTTACACTAGCAGTATGCCTGCTCATATGTGGGACACCCGTCATTAGTGTTTTTTTTTTTTTTTTTTTTTTGTCTTAGGAACATTTAACTTTCATGTGATTCAAACGCAGTTTGCTGCTATAGCTGGAGCATCGGAACCCTGAGACCGTGCAGATAGCTGATTTTTAAAATTCCCTATTTTTTTGGAGGCGGGGGATTGTTTTTTTCAGTTTTATATAATTATATATATTTTTTTTTATTTCAAAATTTAAAAATTGGCTACCTATATGGCCTCAGGATAATGATGCTCTAGTGAACAACAAACTGCGTTTGAATCACACAAAAATTACGAAAGTAAAATACACCTTTTGTTTGTGGAAACAAATGGCAATATGGTGTTCAATATTTTGGACATTTGCCAAAGTATGTTATCTCTGTTATTTCGCGCTAAATCTAAGGATGTTACATAAAAAAGTTTAATTAGTGTAGTTTGCGATGTGACTATTACCAATTGGAAATATTCTCAATAGGGATGCTATTCTGTAAAGGTATGTCTAATTTTGTTTGTTTGCTGGATATGAAAATAGATATATCTGTCTGAAAAGTTTAATAAGTGCATTAAACCATAGAGACAATTAATCTAAACCAGATAAAACTTTTATTTATTTATTTTTTTTTTTTAGAAGAAATGGAGAACTCAGCATGGCAATATCAGTTCAAAATCATCCTAGTTATAAAGGCCTAGCATGAATACAACATAGCAGTTCAATTTTTAGAATTTTAAAAGCATATGTGTGAAGTACATGGAATTTGAGACTTACCAAAGTATTTGAATTTTTCCCATACTCCACACGGGGGGAAGAGGGTCACTGGGTGTTTATAAGTTATAATATGCGCATAAGATTAACCATTTTAATCATCCTCATTTAGCAGGCCTACATTGACTTATATATGTAAAAGAATATAACATTACTTATCCTTATCAAACTGTTTTCCTTGACGATTTTTAAAAGAAACAGTTCGCAACGAGAAATGAGTGTAGAGTTGGTGTTTTGTCATTTGCACCTATTAACTTTGCTAAGAAGTGCATAAATCCATGCAGATGCCTAGGTGTGGTTGGATATTTGCGTATTTATGGTACCTAAGACCTATGGTAATGTTTAAACTTAATATTTTTTTACCGGAAACGCATAAAAAGGATTCGATAGTTGTTTCAACTCTAGACGAAGACTGCGCATACAAAGAAGGTCAAAATTCCAAGTAGTTTTTATTTCAGAGCAGATATTACTGTGTACTATCATCTTCAATATGAAAGAATCGGTATCATGCTTATTTCTCCGAATTAAAAAATCTGACTTTTAGGTGCCCTTTGCAGTGAAGTGCTCTTTACAGCGGAAATGACCAGTTTCAAATTAAATCAAATTTACTGATGTTGTAAAGTGCTGACAATTGAACAGTCTAAAAAGAATATTTATCATTATTTATATGGGTATTTTCAAACATTATTGGTTCGTACTTGGTATACATACATGTGATAAAGTTGGGGGCGTGGAGGTGGTGAATTAAAGGGGGTCTGTCTTGCTGGTTTATTGGGGGAGGTAAAGATGTGGCCCCCGAGAGTGACCTCGTGCCCCGAGTCCCCGAGGGCGGAGTGACCTCTTGCCTGTGACTGCTCTGCTAAGTCTTGGTCTACTTCTGGTGCTCTCCCCTCTCTGCCTGATGAGACGTCCTTATATACAGTTACTCCTTGTCCTGCTGGCGGCACAGCTACAAGGCACAGCTTCCGTTTCGACCTTGGGAGGACGGAAGTGTATTGTTGGCATCGCTCGGCCACGCAAAGCGAATCGTCCTCGATCCGTCTGCAACGTCATAAGCACTGATGGCATGTCTGGTGGCAAGCTCCCAATGTGCTTCTACAGATGGTTGCTGGTGCTCCATGGTCCCTTAGGTCGTCGTGTGTCAGGGGAGCAGCGTGGTGGAGGTTCACAGTGAGGTGCAACATTTGGTAGCAGGGTCACATTGTCTTCAGGGGCTGAAAAATAAGTGTACTAGGCCAGTAAAAAGGGCTAAGGAAGAGGATGGAAATTTTACTTGTCCACACCTTACTAAGATGCCAGAAAAGGAAAGTAATAAGAACATTTGTTGTGAGAAGGCTGCATGTCTTGAGAAGGTGTTAATTACTCAGGATTAGTGAGATCAAAAGAGTACGAATATTTTGTAGGGAGAAAGTTAGTGAGTGAGGATTCCATATCTTTGGGCTAAATTGGCTAGTAACTATGCTTCAGACACGTGTAGGCAGCTTGGCCTGAACTTAAAAGTAACTTGAGCGTCTCGGCGGTGTAGAAAAAAAATGTAATCACGGCAACAGTGTGCATTTCGGAGGCAGCTTGGGCTGAACAAAAGTAACGGCCACAGTAGACATAAGTATGAGTAACAACGTGCGGCAAGGCGCAATTTGTGGGCAGCAGTAAACCTGTGCATCTAGAGCGCAGTAAGTATGAGTAACAACATTCGGCGGGCGTGATTCCTTCGTAGGAGATTCAACGGCATCTGGGTGCGATTTCTTCGTAGTAGACATAACAGCTTAAAACTAAATTGCGGTGATAATATGTAAGCCTACATAAGGCATGGTATCTGCAGTGCGTAACCCCTACTGCAACAGATGTTTGACTCCATCAAGTTAGTTACAAGTTACATATTCACCAAAACCTTAAAACTAAGGAAGCATAAATTCCAGCAGTACTAACGAAAAGATATCGGGTATTGAGAGTAGTCGTCATTAAAGCTAGTTAGAATCAGTAATTAAACATGGTACGTACTACAAATAATACTAGAGTGAATTCGTGTAGAGCGGTCAAATAGGTGAGTAAAGGGTTGATGTGTATGTGAATAAGCGAACAATTACCACGGCAAGTAAAGGGAAAGTGATTTTCAAAACACACCATATTTATAAATTCACAGAATGAAAGTGAAACACAGGCAGGAACGAAGAAACTACTAATAAACATAGCATATAAAGTGAAGCAAAGATTACTACAATAGACACGAATAATATACACGGGAGAGCAGATATATTACAATAATTGAAAAAATTTAAATGATTATTTGCTCTGAAAAAAGTAAAACGTACTATGCAGTGTGAATACAATAATTATCCGATAGTCTGAAAGAAACAAATAACACAACAATATACATCAATTAAAGAATGGTTAAGGCGGGGGAATGAGGTGGGGGAGTGAGGTGAGTGGTCACTGTGACCTAAGTGTGTAACTTCGTTGTGAGTTAAAACAATTATTAACAGTGAGAAATTTTTGTAATATAGAATTAGTAGTTTGCAACTTGTATGTAAGGTGTGGATAGGTTTAGGGAGGGCGAATAGTTAAACTGGCACTGAAGAGGTACACTTATTCTTAAAAGTACTGAGAGAGTATCGGTGGTGTAGGGTCGAAGTGTGATTTCATGGCTTATGCTGACGAAGGTTCGCGAAGACTCTATGAGGTAGATGAGTTGGTTGGCGAGAATGGGTTGGGGAATTCATCTTCAGCGACTTCGTCAGGAGCGTAGCACAGGCGCGAGTTGTTAGTGTGATGTAGTGTGGGAGACATGGTGTGGGCGGTGAGGATCTTGTTAGCGATGACTGGCGAGGAGGCACTTCGGCAGGACCTTTTTTCAGGAATGTTCGGCGTTGTGAAGTTCTTCCACAGCTAGCCACCAGTTGTCAACCTAAGAGTTGGGGGGCGTGGAGGTGGTGAATGAAAGGGGACTTGCTTGAGGAGTTTATTGGGGAGGTATAGGTATGATCCCGAGAGTGACCCTGCGTCCCAAGGGCGGAGGCGAGGAAAGTGACCTCCCGCCCTGTGCCTCATCTGCTAGGTCTTAGTCTGCTTCTGGTGCTCTCCCCTCTCTGCCTGATGAGACGTCCTCATATCCAGTGACTCCTTGTCCTGCTGGCGGAGGTGCCTCGTACCCTATTCTTTGGGTGTCTATTCTTCTGGACGTGATGAAGTCCCCGGAAGAGAAAGTCTTGGCTGGCAAAGAAGGTGTGAATAGGTGTTTCCTCTGGACTGAGAGAGGAAGGCACAGCTACAAGGCACAGCTTCCGTTTCGACATTGGGAGGATGGAAGTGTTTTGTTGACAATACAGATCCCTTCATAAGCTACAGTATATTACCAGGGTCTCGATGGAAACATTTCATGTGTAAAAGTACACAATTTTTTTTTTTTTTTTTTTCTAGATAATTCTCAAACTATTTCATCATAAATCACTAATATAATTTTTTTTCTGATATTAGTATAAAAGTGAACATTCACAAACTCATATCTATGTTCAGTGTCATTATCAAATCCTGTAGCCATGATTGCGACAAGCAAAAGTCCACATAGGTGTACCCGGGAGCACATTCCCCACAGGTAGACAGGTCTTGCGTGCGCTGCCTGAGAACTATCCATAGCTAGGCTTTAACCTATTGCCGACGGGTCATTTTCTGATATGCGAGACCCTTTCCCTGGGTAGTATTCGTAGTGGCCTGGGCCTCGCTGCCGGGGACCTATGCCATCACCCTATGGCGCGCGACCGCTCACGCGCAATACCAGCATTCCTTGTCTTTTCTTTGTATCACTAAGAATTTTTTTTTATTTTTTAAATTATTTTCTAAGGTATATATTTGCTATATTTTCCTTTAAGTCAAGTATGTATGACAGTGTTTTCGTAGTATGGACTCCACAATTGATAATTATTCGCCTTTACTCTGAATAAAGTAAGCAGTTTGATGTGTGATCGTGTTTATAACCATAGTTTTTTTGTTGAATTTCGTTATTCATTTTTTTAGGTTATCATATCAACTATCCTAGTTTTCACGCGAGGTCTATATTATTACTTCATGAGCAAGATATAGTTTTTATTTTCTCTTCTCAGTGTAGTTTTATAAGTACGTGATCACATCATATATGTAATACACATATAATTTTATTTTTTTATTCCTGTTGTAAGTTATTTTTGGAAGTCGTATGTGTTCAATATCATTGGATCAAGCTCTGTAAAAAAGCTTACTTTCTTTTTCTTTT